GCACCCGCCGTTAGCGACTCGTTTATCGCCCCTGCGCGTTGCGGCCCCCGGTTGGGTTGCCGTGGGCGCTGCCCGCCGCGTGCGGGGCACGAGAGGGCCGGGGAGCGAGGACGAGAAAGCAGCGAGGCTGGGGGGGCTGGCGCGGAGGCCCCGCGCGGAGCGGCCGGGGAGCCGGGGTTGTTCGGCGGGCAGAGGAGGAGGCCCCGGCGCCTCCTCGCCCTGCCGCTGCCCGAAGGGAGGCTGTGCTGAGGCGCTGGGGGCTCCGCTCCGGATAACTACGGACAGAACGGGAGGAGCCGGCCTCAGCTTGCCCCAGGGGAGGCTCGGGTGGGAGATGAGGAAAAACGCGCGTGCTGAAAGAGCGGTGCGGCCTCCGAACAGCGGAAGGGGCAGCGGTGGAGAGACCGGCCGTGGCAGCGCGCAGGAGACGTGTCGATCAGGGGCCGGGCTGGGCAGTGCGGTGTGAGGGCCTCCGTGATCGTGACGGTCTGTCCGAACCGCCGCGAGGCTGGCGCCAGGGCTCTGCGGCCTTTCGCCCGCGCTCCGGGGCGCTCGGCTTCCCCGTTAGGTTCTGGGGGTGGCATCGAGCTCGGCGCTGAGGCTGCCCGTGCCCAGCGCGCTGCCCTCTCGCCTCCCCGTTCCGCAGGCATTTCCCGCAGTGATTGTTGCCTCCTTCCTTCCTTCCTTCCCCCAGGGCAGGCCGTGAAGATGTTCAGCGCGAGCCAGTCGTCGAAAGCGCAGTTCCTGGACAAGGCGCGCCAGGCGCGGGAGGAGCGCCGCGAGCTCAAGGAGCGGGAGCGCGCGGCCACGCGCGCCCAGGCGCTGGCCAGGGGCTTCCTGTGCCGCCGCCGCCTGCGCCGCCGCCTCAGGTGTGCGCAGAGCTCCCCTTTGTCCCCCCGCAGACGGGGACACCGTCCCCCTTGTCCCCTCGGAGCTGGGGGAGAGTGTTCCCCCTGCCCCCTCGCAGCCGGGGAGAGGGGCCTGCCTTTTAACGGCCTCTCCTCCCTTTCCTCCTCGCTTTCCTAGGAGAGAAGTTGAGGAATTCTTTGAGGCGAACGAGCCTGGTTCGAGTAGAAGAAACGCGCTTTCTGTCTTCAGAATTGCTCGGAAGCTGCTGTTTGTGTTTAATCCCAAAGAGGACAAAGAGGTAAGGTTGTCGCTCTGAAATGGTTTCCTCGTTTGGATTGCCTGTTTAGCGCCCTAAGTATGTTCAGATTGTTGACTAGTAACCATGTGGGTTCCTTCAGTACATCTTGGCTTTGGAAATTTGATCTGTCTCTTGCTCCTTGCTGGAAAGGAGTGTGAGGGGTATCTGAGCTACAGCTGCGTTTCCAACTGTGCTGAATTTGTGGTGTCAGGGGGAGCGCTTTGCTGTGCCTCTGTCTCTGTGAGAAGAGGATATTTGCCCCAGGGACACATTAGGGCTAATTATAAGTAAAACAACTGGAAAATGAAGGTCTGTATTTAAATTGAAGAAGCAGTTGGTGCTTGGTTGGCAGAGGGAAAGTATTTGGTTGGCTTTTTTTATCTCTGTCTCAAAATCTTTCCTTTTGAGGAAGGTGTAACATGTGTCTGTTCTCTCTTCTATATGTCTTTTGCTTCTCTTCTGCTCCCCATTCCTGCAGCAAGTCAGTCCCTGGCTGGGCCAAGCACAAGACTGCTTGTTTCTGGAGAACGCCCTCGTTAGGAGAACAGAGCAGTAAAGTTCTGTTTTCAAAGAGAGGCTTTGCAGCTTGTGAGCTTTTGGTTAATGCAACTGGACTGAAATAGTTAAGGAATTCTGAGTGTGCGCTCCAAGTTCACTGAGAGCCACAATGACCACTGGAAGAGCAAACTCCAGCAGGAAAGGTGCTTTTCCTGGCTTCAGGCCATGCTGCCGAGGGAGGCAGGTTAGCTGGGACGGCTGAGAAATTCCTGCTGTTGAAGTGCTGGGTTCCAGGAGAGAGCTCTTCTGCACAGCTCTAGCGTGAGATGCAGAGGTGCTCTCAGAGCAGGAGCTGCTGGCACAGCCCATGGGGAATATGTGCTTGGAGCTTTGGTCTGATTCCGAGGTACTTTGCTTGTGCTCTTGTGCTCTCTTCTGTGCTGCTTCGAGGACTTTTCCCAAGTACCTCCTAATCTAACTGGAATTCATAGGAGTCTCTCTTTTCTTGCAGAGGTTTGAAAAGCTGTGCCGTTGTATTCTTAACAGTATGGATGTTGAGAACGAGCCCAAGGTCAGTAGGATGTTTTTTTCACTTGGTTGGATGTGTGAGATGTCAGGTTGGCAATGTTCGAGTTAGCTGCTGAGAGTCCAGGGTGGAGGGTTGGACAGGCTCCTCAGGACCCGTCTGGAATTCTCCCTCTGTGTATAGCTATAAAAGGTAAAAAATAGTTTGTATGCTTTGATCAAGTCAATTGTGGGAGAGAAATAACTTGGCCCCACTGCTGTGGTGAGCAGTGCTCTGGGTTCATTTGGTTACAAAGCTTCTGGTAATTTGTTTTGCTGATGGGTGGCACAAATACCTGTCGCAGCCCACATCTGTTCCCTGCCCTCCCCAGGTGTGGTATGTGTCGCTGGCGCTCTCCAAGGATCTCACCCTCTTGTGGATAAAGCAGATCAAAGACATTTTGTGGTTTTGCTGTGAATTTCTCAAGCAACTTAAGGTAAAAAGAAATAAATTTCACTGTGTTTTGCCTCCCTGCGTCTAATAGTGCTGCAGGGTGGCACAGAAATAGCTTCATTTTAAGCACCGATGTTTGTTATTGCAGCCTGACATCCTACAAGACTCCAAACTAGTCAATTTGCACCTCACAATGCTCGTCACCTTCACGGACACATCGACTTGGAAAATCCTTCGGGGAAAAGGTGTGTTCATTCAGTGTGTCCTTTCAGAAGTTCATTATGTTTCAGTTGCTGATTCAGGACTTGCTTTTAAAACTTGCTGAGTGCTTTTTCTGCACCCTGCCTTCTCCCCACAAAGGTTCATTATGCTTCTGTGCGTGCCCAAAGCACAGAACAGGCAGTAAGGAGCCCCTTGGCGTTAGGGAAGGTGGAACAGCAGCAGCTCCCCAAAGTCACCCACACCAGAGTGCTCAGAGTGTAATGTAACGTGGCTTCAGCTCTGGGGCTTTTGTGGGAAATACACATAGAGTTAGATGTGTATAGTGAAGGAACGTGGCTCGTATAGCTGAAATGATCTGTTCTACTGGAACTTGCTGTGATACGGTTTTGGTAACATCGCTGTTTTATCCTTGAAGGAGAAACGCTGAGGCCTGCCCTGAACCACATCTGTGCAAACATCATGGGACACCTCAATCAGAAGGGATTTTATTCTGTGCTGCAGGTCAGTCTGTGGCTCGTGCAGTTAGTGCTCCTGTTTATTCAAAAGAAACCCAGGCCCCTGCTGCTGCTGTTCTGAGGAAATTTTTGTGATTTCTCGGGGCATGTGTCAGGCAGGAGGTGTATGTGAAGCGCCATCGATTTGTGCTTTTTTAATGTGGTTTCTGTTACGCTGCTGTTAACACGAAACTCTTCAAGTGCTGCTAAATGACTTGTAGCTACTGTTT